GCCACAGCATAACGTGGCGCAACGTGGCACAACGTCACAGCACAATGTGGCACAACGTCACAGCACAACGTGGCACAACGTCACAGCACAACGTGGCACAACGTCACAGCACAACGTGGCACAACGTGGCGCAACGTGGCGCAACGTGGCGCAACGTGGCACAACGTCACAGCACAACGTGGCACAATGTCACAGCACAACGTGGCACAACGTGGCAGCACAACGTGGCACAACGTGGCACAACGTCACAGCACAACGTGGCACAACGTCACAGCACAACGTGGCACAACGTGGCACAACGTCACAGCACAACGTGGCGCAACATGGCGCAACGTGGCACAACGTCGCAGCACAACGTGGCGCAACGTGGCGCAACATCACAGCACAATGTGGCACAACGTCACAGCACAACGTGGCACAACGTCACAGCACAATGTGGCACAACATCACAGCACAACGTGGCACAACGTCACAGCACAACGTAGCACAACGTAGCACAACGTAGCACAACGTAGCACAACGTTAGCACAACGTAGCACAACGTCACAGCACAACATGGTGTAGGCTTCGTGCTTATACGTTAGTTTGTGATGCGCCTTAATTTGTGCGTACCAGAGAGTAAAAAGAGAGACAGAGAGAGTGAAAGAGAGAGACCAGAGTGTGGGAAAAAGTGATTGGAGAGAGAGAGATAAAGAAACAAAGAGAGAGAAAGAGACAGAGACAGAGAGAGAGAGAGAGAGACAGAGACAGAAAGGGAGAAAGACAGAGACAGAGAGGGAGATAGTGAATAAGACTTAGTGAGAGTGAGAGTGAGAGAGAGAGAGAGAGAGAGAGAGAAAGAGAGAGAGAGAGAAAGAGAGTATGTGAGTGAGTGAGTGAAAGTAAGAGGAAGTGAGAGATAGAGGAGAGAAAGAGAGAGAAAGGTAGTGCATGAGAACGAGTTAGCAAAAGTGAGATAGAGATTGAGAGAAAAAGATGAGAAAGGAAGTGAGGGTAGATGGAGAGCGATGGTAGTGGGAATACAGAAAGGGGAAGAGACTGAGTACTGAGTGAGAAAAGAGCTGGAGAGAGGGAAGGAGCAAGGGAGTGAGCGAGATAGAGACAGAAATAGTGGAAGAGAGAAAAGGGGAGGAAAGAGAAGTGGACAATACTATCCACCAGTGCCTACTTGTAACGTGTAGCACGACAGCCTTCACCTTTGTGACAAGCATTCTCCCTATACATTGGAAATGGGAAATATAGGTCAAACCCGGATGGGACAATCAAATGATCCGCTGCCAGACACGCGCACATAGCGATGTATGTATAAGGGAGGGGGTCGTCATGGGCGGAAGGCTGGCAAGCTGCGACGGCACCTATAAAAACTTGCAAATTACACACTGGCGCCACCTACCGGTGGGTTTAGTGAAATATGCACTCTTTTATCCTTACAAGCTCTTATAAAATTAATGTACACACGTGTGCGTGGGTGCATGCATGTGTGCGTGCGTTTTCGTGTGATTAATTTGTTGAGGCGTATACACTTACATACATAGTTATCTTCAACAATTTTCCTGGTTACTTATACAGAAATAAGCAGTGTGGTGGTTGAAAGTGTATTAGCTAGTACTCTCAAAATACTCACCACAATTAAATAACACGAGTGCGTTCAGAGCTACACATTCGTCCTTTGTCAAGGGTTTCGAGCCAAACTTGCCCAAAAACTTCAGCATGACTGGATACATCTCCTCGGAGTTGATTGCTCGAAAAACCTGAAACCATTGATAGAAAAAAGTCACTGTGATGCAGGCAATGCTGTTTTTCAGCTATTTATATGCATGCGATATAATAATTGCTCGCAGTGACAGTAACTGGGTGGGGCTCTTTTCATGTGCGGTGGATTGTCTTTCAATATCTTGCAGGAACTGTTGGAAAACGTCAGCGAATCAGCCCTCTAGGATGTCGTTAACATATATATATACATATTTTACATCAGTATGCCTATGTGGCAGCAACTGGCGTGATATTAACATCAGCATAGAAACGCATGACAACGGCCTTTCGAGCCTACAATGTTGACTGTGGTCTACATACTACTACTATAGTACACATACATACATATATATACATATATATATATATACGTATATATACGTATATATATATATATATACATACATATATAGTGGTATACATACGACGTACTAGCAAACCATAAAGTTTGATGTCTAGAGAAATAAGATGTGTTACTCTAGTTGAATAAATTCGCACGTACTTAATTTTAGGAGTGCAATTCGTGATACTAAAACTCGCCTTTATAACCACTAAAGCCTGGGGATACAAAACGCAAACAGGCTCCTACGGATTTCTTATGAGGTTGGATGGGCTAATTCACACAAAAATGGCACGTGTCGCTAGCAATAAAAGAACATGTAAAAACGTGCAGTCAGCTGCACACCGTGTTCCTGTAATCACTGTCCCCTTGCATCAAGTACCCTGCAGGTACTACAACCCAACTGCATGCCAACTGCCGGCCAACAAAGGTTGGGCGGGCAATCCTTGATATGAATCGCTATTACACTCTAACCTACACGTTCAGATTGTGAAATGTGCATGTTCCGGCAAGCAGTCTCCGCTGCGTCCGGCATCCTCGAGGCTAACAGCAGTATACGAATTTGAAATGTGTCTCTTGTTTACGCGATGCACATTGGAGATGAGTGCAAAAGGACCAGCCAGCGCATGCAGAAGCATAAAGGAATCACCCTTTAAGTGAAACTTGCCAATTTACCTAGATGGAGGAAATAAATAATAATGAGAACATTGCTGAATCGTGGGATGAAGTGAAGTGATCAGATATAAGTGGAGTATGTAGAAACGCATGGCCAGAGTGAATCTCTCCAGGGATTCGATGAGCAGAAAATATACATTATATTCAGCAAGATACTGTGACACTCACACATGATGCACGTTTTATAGCCATCATAGCAGACGATGTGATTGCGTTGCTACAGTCTCGTAGAGATAATCTGTCTAATAAATAATGCTATGCCCTTGAAACAAGTGCCGAGTTGCGGAAGAAGGCATGGATAGCATGGATTTTTGAAAAGGGGGTGTCCAAGAAGAAATAAATGGCACCTTTTCCTGCATAATTTTTGTGGTGTTTTAAAAAGCTGCCGAAGGCACTTAAAAATTGTCTATTTAAAAATTGCACAATTTAAAAAAAAACATTGGTGCATTCTGAAAGCATCCGAGCAGTAATTTTGATGTCTAGAATGCAAGATGGAATTCCAAATTTTTAGCAGAAAATGATCTTTTAAGTCATCCTACAATGAAATTCACCTCTGGATCGCACCCCGAACAATAAAATCGGGTTGAAAAACAAAAATTTATCAGATCCGGTCCCCCGGACGCCCCGTGGACCCCTCTTTGCCCATTTCTAGGTTTTATACCAAATTTATATATATATATAAGTAAATCTTTATCAGAAAAAATAGCCCTAAAAAAATTGTGATGAAATTTTTTAGGGCACTTTCAAATTAAAGGGCCGTACCCCCCGAACAACCCCCCTAGATCCGCCCCTGGATACAGAAGTCTCAACTACCACTCTCTAGTGGACTAGAAAGCAAATGGCCAAGGAATTTGCACTTAGAGCAGAAGGGTTGCAGATCTTCACTGCTAATCATGCAAATCGTAGACATAACCGCAATGTTCTAAGCAAAGTCAACAATGGCCTCTGCTGCCACAAGAAGCTTTACAAATGGAAGATCTGCTGTAACAGGCAATCACTAATAGCCAACTTGCTGGCCCCCAACAAGACAGAGCCTGATGTGTCCTTTGCCTCTCCCTCTCCCTCTCTGGGTATTTATAATTATAAATTCCATTTCCCTTGGTTGTTTGATATCATTAAATAACCAATATATACATTTACAAATGTTTAAAATACATCCGTAAGTGTCCCTGCGGTGCACTTCTTTAATCCGAATTTTTTTTCTTGCCTTTAGGAGGTTAATGGGAATGCATTACTTACGTAACACGAGGTATTAATGTACTTGAAAATTGCGCCAAGGCATTGTGAAATCATGGCATATAGACCCTCTTAGGAATACGCGTGGATGGGATATTTCCCTATCAAACTCTACACTATTTCAGCTTAGGCGCTGCACTGATATAGAAATTGAGACAACAGATCGGGGAAGCAAGGGTTTAGATTACGGCAGATCTCAGAGGGGGAGGGAGAGAAAGAACAAGAAAGAAAGGGAGCGAAAGAGAGATGGGGGAGAGAGAGAGGAAGAGGGAGAGAGAGGGGAGGAGGAAGAGAGAGCGATGGTAAAGTGACAGTGTACGGAAGCGAAGCGAGTGTGAGTACTCCTACCAGGGGCGTAGATAGTGGGGGGGATGGGGGGGATGCATCCCCCCCACTTATTGACGTGGGGGGGATGGCGTGTACAATCATCCCCCCTACTTTCAGGAGGAAAATGGGGGATTCAAAATTTTCTGGTGGAGGACCCGCATACCCCCGCCTGTTTCTTACCACCCTCCTCGAAAACCTGCATTGCCCACTGTCGAGCGTAACAAATTGAGCACCCCCACTTCAAAAATCATTCCGCGGCGCCTGTAGAGTACTGCTAACAAAGATTATGATTATGAATATTTGTATGCAAAAGTCAAATTTGAGTTCATCTGACAGGGGCGTAGATAGCGGGGGGATGGGGGTATATACCCACACACTTATTGAGGTGGGGTGGCTTTCATCCCCCCTACTTTCAGGAAGAAAATGGGGAAAAATTTAAGATTTTACAGACAATAAATACTGGATATTTATCTACAAATCCGTCATCACTGTTCATACTCTCCTAATGTATTATTACAGAAATGGAACGTGACATACATCTCCTGTAAAATGGCTGTAACTCGTTCCAAGAATGACATTATTTTACTGAAACTCAGATGGTTAATTTTGGTCGCATTCCCCATATACAATTTATTTTTCCAAAATTCCCAAAGTCTTATCACTGCTCACGAAGGTTAAATCCTTGCTTTATTCAAAATTAGTATACACCTATTGAGAGTTGGGATATTGAATTTTCACGGGGATTGAATGGGAAAATTCAATTTCATCTCACTTTTTTTGGGGGCGGGATGGGGGTGCTGAGACCCGACCGGAAGTATATTCCCAATTTTGTATAAGGGGTGAAAATGTGCACTTTTTTGTTCAAATCTGGTTGTTTTTCTCATATTTTTTAGCAGTTTTAACATTCTCAGTAAAATATACGTTTTATCAAAATTTTAGGGGAAGATGATTCCAGTGCTGTAGTTGTCAACGGGGGGTCGGTAGCACGGGGCGGTCGCCCCCCCCCTAGAATTTTCAGGGCAAAGGTATTTTAGCCTAGGTAAGTCTGCACTGGTAATCCCAGTGAGGACATGTACATAGCACAGATTTGGTATAAGTATTCAGGGCCGTATACGGCCCTGAATA